GATGTGATAACTGTGCAAGAACCTTATCGAATTTAAAATAAATTTGCCTTTTAGAAAAAGGGTTGGAGAGTGGTAATGATGAATGGTCGTAGATGTGCTGCTGTGTTTGCCAATGGAAATATTATATTTTCGGAAAATTTGATTTCAGATACAATTGTTGCGGTTTCTGTTTCCATCGAGAATTAATTTATGGAAATTGTTTCTGTATATTTCTCTTCAGTGGAAGATTTTGCATTAAAATTAAATTAAATTGGAAGATGTTATTAAATGTTATAATAATTTTCTAGTATTAGGAGATTTTAACTCTAAGCATTTTAACTAAGGAGCCAGGAGTATTGATAAAAGGGGAATTTTAATTTTTGATTTCATTTTACAGAGTAATTTGATTCTATAATGACTCTAATTCGTTGCCTACTTTTGTATCTCCAGCTCAGGAGGGATGGACGGATTTAGTTTTAGGGCCCTCAATGTCTGTGAATTTAATTGTTGAACAAGTTTTAGCCATTGAGCGATCATAAATATACTTCTCTGAATCTGAATGAAATATTTGTGGAATATGATGAAATTAAATTTTCACGTGATATACAAATAGTCGAATGATATGTTAAAGGTTTAAGGAGTAAAATGAAGAATTTAAGACAATAACTGATAAATATTGCAGAAAAGTCGAGTTTAATGACTTTGTTGTTAAACTGGAAAATATAGTAGCTGATAGAAACATTAGGGTCTTGAGATTTAAGAGGAAAGATAAGAATGTTATTCTGTGTTGGACACCGGAACTGCAGAGATTAAAACGACGGATTCGCGCGTTTAGGAAACAGTATCAGATTAAAAATACTGATGAAAATGTTCGTATAGAAAGGAAGATCTTATATAAAAAAAAGAACTAGCTGCATATAAGAAAATGATAAAGATAGTAAAACGCCAGAGTAAAATAGGATTCTTTGTTGAGAGTGCAAAATATTATGGAGGATTTCTTCTTGCGGCTAGTTGTAAAAACAAGTGTCTCGAAGTGATATGAAGAAAAAATAAATATGCTGTAAATAATTTTTGAGTTTAAAGTTAAGACCACGAACTTAAGACACATAAAAAAATTATAAACGGTTATTTAATATTTATATAAAATTTTATTTTATATAAAATATAAATTTTATTAATTTTATTTATATAAAATTTTTTTTTTATACAATTTTATATAAAATATTATTTATAAAAGTTTATTTTTATAGTAACTTTGACTGTGGATCTGTTGAAGATGGTTTTGGGTGTGGATTTGTCGCAGGATGATGAATGCGCTTCAGATAGATGGTCTGCCATTTAGTTTGGCGGAAATTAGGAACGTGGTTAAGAAATTGCGTAACCATAGTGCCCCGAGACCGGTTGGGATCACTGCCATTATGATAAAATTTTTATTTTGGAAATATTCTCATCTCTTTGTGTTATTATAAAGTAAATGCCTTGATATATGCTATTTTCCTAAAGTGTGGAAAGCTAGAGTTTTATTTATTCCAAAGTTTGGTAGGGCGACCAGACTTTATGTTTTTTAAAATTTTGTGTATAAGTTTTGCATAAGTTACTTATAAATAGACAGTATTACTTTTTATTAAGGAATGATTTTGTATCTAAAAAACAATACGCATTTACACCAGGTCGCTCCACGGAAAATGTTCTTAATGATCATATCAATATTATCACTCACAAAAATATGAATTCCTTGTGGCTGTGGTTTCCTTCGATGTTTCGGAAGTATGGACATCTTTGCTCTTCACCCTTAGAGATTTTGGGATACCCCAAAATATTTACAGAATCTTTGTTAGTTATTTTAACTAAAGGAAAGTTATTTACAGATTCAATCAGGATATTTGTATTGAAAGAATGGTATACAAAGGATGCCCACAGGGAATACCGGAACCACTGGAACACAGAAATGTATGGATTGTTAAAGAAAGAGTGCCCAAATGGTGTAAGAATGTTATCAGTCCAGTCCAGTCTATACCGATATTGCTCGACTATCGCTGAAGATTCGCGATGTTTCCGGCTCCTGACACATATGCCCGAAGGGCGCCTGACATGGAAGAGTCCGAACCGATGAAGGAGAGGTCTAAGATGGTAAGAGAAGGGGGTGACCACTTGTCAAAAGGCAGAAAAACCAAATCCAAGCTAAAGCTGAGACCAGGAGAGGCAAGTGTTGGTGTGAAGCACGTCGTGACTGCTTGTGAGGTAAGCAGATAGAACATAAGATACGAATACAAAATACATAGTACAATTAAATACATAATACAGAGAGAATATGATAAAAAATATGTACACTATATACAAGCTGCATCAACTACGTAGGGAAGTTGGAATTGCAAATGTGGGCTGCAAATGTCCTGATATTTCGATCTTCTGTGAGTATGATGTAGTCGAAAACTTTGAAATTGTCCATGTGCGGGCAGTTTAAAGCCTTATTAAAGAAATTTTCATTAACTTTGTGAAGAAAGGTCTTGACTCTTTCAATTTTAAGGTCACGGTGAAGCGTGTCATTTGAAACATAAGAGTGGGCGTTCATAATAAGTCCAAGGAACTTATTTTGCATTATTTGAAGCTTATTCAAATCTTTATTAGAAATTGCCGCCCAAGCAAGGGAGGCATAAGTAAAAATTGGACAGACTACAGCCGTATAATAAGAATGTTATGTTATGCTGATGACATTTTATATGTGATTCGTGAAAACTCTTTGGAGAATTTAAAGAAATTGTCTTCATTTGCTATAGAAGATCTAAGAATGTGAACTGAAAAAGAAAAATTGAGATTAAGTTTAAAAAAAAAAACTAATTTCTTGTTCTACCCAAAAGGTGGGAGGAAACTAGACCACCACATCTAAAATATGAAGGTGTTAGTATTGAATGTGTTGAAAACCATAAATATATTGGTGTTTTTTTCGATTGTAAACTTAATCTTGAAAGACATTTTAATAATATTTATAAAAGAACTAACTCTATTCTGATATATCGTAAAAGAAATTTCTCAACTGAGCCACTAGCATTGGAAAAGTAACATTTAAGATTAATTTACAAAACAGTTATTACTCCCATTATATTATACTTTGTTGCGACTTCGATTTCGAGGGCCACAGACCTGCAGTGAATCAGAAATAAATTAGATACAATAAAAAGAACCTGGCTGCTACTTCAAAATAATCTCGACGGAAGTCGTTTGCATATTGGCCGGTATGCCGCCCCTCTGGATATTTTATTATTTTTATTAGGATAAATTTAAATTACGTTCGCAAAATGTTGGTTTTATTACTTACAGAGGTTTAACTGCATATAATATGTCTTTAATATTGACAGTTATACATCCTGCATTAAAAAAAGCAATGGAATATCATAAACCAAATGTTTGTGGATATATTTACTGACAAAAGTGGATATATTTACTGACGGTTCGGGTTATGACAATGGAATTGGTGCAGCATATGTGGCTTATTTGTTTGGTACAGAAACAGACTATGGCAAACTTAGACTTGAACCTTACAATTCGGTTTTTCAAGCCGAACTGGCTGCTATCATATTTTTTCTTAAATGAATTGATGAAAACCTGATTGTAAAAACATATTTATATACAGACTCATTATCTGGCTTGGAAGCACTAGTAGATACTGATAACACTAATAATTTGGTCTCGTATATATTGTTACGGTTTTGGTAATTAGTTTGCTATTTTTTAGTAGAATTGTTATTAAATTGTTTCATTTCCCCCGTGCAATGCTGCACGCGACAAGTTTTAAGAGAAAGCTACCTAAAAATACAGGAGCATGCACATTTAACATTTAATAAATAGATACCTCGTAATTGTACTCTTTGCTATCCAGACAAATCGAGAAAATACCAGAATGTTCTCGTGCAGATTAAAAAGCTTATAAAAGCCGGATTAAAACAGTTCAGTCGTTTACTTAGTTCTTGTTGATTGTAGCGATTTCGAGGTGAAATCGGATTAGCTTTCTCTGTGTTTTGAATTGAGTTCTATTCACATTTTAGTAGTTCAAAATATAACTACTGTGAGATATTGCGATATTGTTCGAATATCTCTTGAAGAAATTTCAGCATTTTGTTTTATTTCTTGGATTAAGAATAAATTTTATTAACGTTTCATCGACTTATGAATTCAATCCATTACGAACCCATGCGCACCCAACAATATAAAGGATAAAAGGACTTGTAAAAGTTGAGAAAATTCATGAAGTGAAAATGAACTGGCTGAAAGCCCATATTTGTGTTATAAGCAATGAGAGGGCCGACATGCTGGCCAAAAAGGCTGCTATGAGTAATGCCTGGGATGCGTTCGATATTCAGGCATAATAAAGAATTGTTATTAATGAAATCAAGAATTTTTATTATGTTTGCTGGAAAGAGACATGGAACATTTCGGGAAAAAGGAAAGATTATTTGTTGAACTCTGAAGTTTCTAAAAATATGAGAATGACATGTGATTTTGATTACAATGAATTAATAACTGGACCCGGGCGCTTCCCGGCGTACCTGAAAAGATTTAATTTTCAGTCTTTAATTTTTGTATTGTTGAAGGCAATGCAGGAAATTTCGTTTAAGACTGCGTATTATTGCGACATGTTAGAGGAAAATATCGTAACATAAAGGAATTCTATTACCGCAAGAAAAAGTTTAGATTTGGAAAGATGTGATGAACTTTATAAATGGCAATGCAACAATACTGGGAATTTGAGTGTGGTGTTTTTAACTGTATTTTTGTTTGAATCTGTGTTGGATGTACTGTGTTAACCATGAGGCCGTTAATTATCGCCAGGAGGGTTGCAGCACACTCGAATATTACATTACATTACATTACCTTCTTCACATATTTCATTTATTTCATCACTCCCATCAGCACAGTCTTGAACTGCATTACAAAAAGCGTATTGAGGAAGACACTGTCCATTTCTACAACGGAATGCGCTATTGTCACATGGAATACCTAGGAGGTAAATAACATTTTTGTGATATTTAAATACCAATTGTTCAAACTGTATAAGAAGGAAGAAGAAGCATAAAAAATACCGGTGTAGCATCTAGCTTCATCGCTACCATCAGGGCATTCCCACTGACCATTGCAAACTAAGGACCGAGATAAACATGTGCCGTCATCACACTGAAAGGCTTGTTTTGGGCAATCTGAAAGTTTACATATATTAATAATTATAGTTGATAGTTATTTTAGTATTTTACTTTTGAATAACTAGAACATATTTAAAATTTTTAAAACTACTTTTAAGCTAGCATATATATATCTGTTTGGGGAAATGCTGAACACGTATGTAAATTTTAGATAAATCAATATACATATTGTAAAGCGTACTTAAAGGAAAGTTCCAACCTATGTAACATTTTATACAACCCAAACCGATTTAGCCTGCAGAAATTATGAAATAATTATTAAAATATACTTACTGAATGGCACACATTCATCTTCATCACTGTTATCTGGACAGTTCATTTGTTTGTCGCAGACAAAGTACCATGATATGCAGTATCCATTGCGACACTGGAATGTGTCGTTGTAGCAGCCTATTAATGTGAAATCTTTAGTGACATAAATATGCATGTGTAATATATAAAATGCAAAACATATGAGAGAGAGAGAGGAAGTACGTTTATACAAGATGTCCTATCAAGCTCACGCAAAGAATGCACAGTCAGATTCCTCGCTTGAAACACATAAAAATGCCCAAAGAACCATACCTGTTGCACAGTCAGATTCCTCCCTTGAAACACATAAAGTGCCCAAAGAACCATACCTGTTCAGTCCATAGTTTTTGAAATTGTTAGAGTTTAACGTTACGAACGGAGACAAAAGTAAAAACCTCATCTGTTGAGAACAATCCTCGGCTGGGATAGCAACGAACGGCCGTAACGACCTCTACGTATTTCCTGGTGGTTTCGTCATAGCCGTACGATATCGCGACGAAATTCTAAACCTTCTTAGGCGTTCTTTTATCACTGCATTGGGTACCCACGCGATGTTTATTTACGATAATGCCCTCCCGCAGGTCGTACGAAGTTATCTATAGAGTGGAACCATTACACATCTGCTGTGGCTTGCTAGATCACCGGACTTGAATCCCATAGGGCAGCGTTTCCCAAAGTATCGGTCGCGACCCGGCACCGGGTCGCATAAAAATTCAGCTGGGTCGTGGTAAAAATTGTAAAAACACAAAAAATCTATAACATTTTGCTCTAAATTTAATATTTTTCGAAACGTTTTCAAGTACCGCAGGTGGCAACCCTTTACCACCGTTTCCTACCGGACCGTTTAAATTCGGATGCTCTGATTGGCTGATTTCGATTCGTCATTCAATGCCTTCTCCGGTACGTGCGCCGTAAACTCACGTGTATCAAAACAAGGTTATGTTTGAATTTTTGTTACCTATTTTATTTGACAATAGTTATTATTACCTGTTATTAATAGCAACTTCATGTTGGTAAGGAATAAAAATACTTTTTCTTATAAATCATTAATAAACGAAATCTTTTTATTAAAGCTTTCATACTTTTTTAAAATGGATAATTAACAGTTAATCAAGAAAACCACAGATTTAAATGATGATGATCAACCAAGCACGAGCAAAGCTGACAGCGCCAAAATAACAAGCATAAACATTGCCGGCGGAAGTCAAAATATTTTGCGGCTATGTGTTATTTGCAATGAGCAAATTTCAAAAGTATGGAAATTTCCTGTTATGTTTTTACCACCAATCCTCAAATTCCATATCACAGATTATGTTCTTACTGCATTAATATAAATATTAACAAGACATAGTGCACAATAAAAATTAAACTTTATTTAGGAACATCGCGCATACTCCCCGACAGCCTGCCTCTTTCGCTCTGCTCGCTACTCGTAAGAAATTTCTCCTCTAGGGTTGCCACACTTATCGGAGGGCGCAAGGCGCGCTCCTTATCGCCATCACCACAGAGTTTCCCCCCAGTTCCTTTGATGGCTAATTCAAAGGAACGACATCAGATTATGAAAATTATCTCAAGAGGATCCGTACTGTCGGGTATTTTTTTTATAATTACAAAATTGGAATATAAAATTAGAAATGATCAAAATGCAATTCAATATATAAGAAGGTAATGATACATATACTAAACATGAAATAACAAAAAATATGTTACGATATTGAATTTAAAAAAAAAAATAAATAAATTGTTATGCAAGAAGCAAGATTTTTAGGGAAGTGAACATGTCTTCCCGATCTGGTGGACAGTTTGTGTCTTAGAGAGTTCGTTTGCAGATTTATTCTGCTGCTTTAAGTCTTTATTTGTTTTCAGTTCAGGCAAATTAGAGTCCGAAAGCAAATAAGCTGGTTTCACACGGTCTATAGACACAGTAAGATTTCAGACCGTTAATATCAATTGTGAAAGTTTTGTCCATTCTAGAAAGGACTTTATGTGGACCTGTGTATGGTTGGCACAGAGGTGGGCTTTACTCGATCGACACATAAGTATACATGCGTACACGACTTTAAGGATAGCATTTACGTAACACTTTTCTTGGCAATGTGCAGATGTTGCTATTGGATTCAATTGTTGCATTCTATGCCTAAGATTCGTGATAATTGTGTGTCAACGGAGATATCTTAGATACGTTATCATATCACTAGGCAGCTTGAGAGTTGGTGCCGTACACCAGTTCAGCACAAGATGACTGTAGATCTTCCTTTACGGCTGTCCGAATACCAGCATAACAACTGGTAGTGTTTCAGTCCAGTTATTGGTCTCGTGAGCCTTGAGAGAAGATTTTAAATGTCGATGAAATCGTTCAACAATGCCGTTGGACATTGGATGATAGGCTGTTGTTGTGATTCTGTTCGTACCCAAAATGCGCGTGAATTCTGCAAAAAGTGCGGATCTCATTTGAGAACCTTGGTCTGTTTGTTATGATCGATGGGCAGCCAAAACGAGATATCCAACAGTTGAAGATGGCTCTGCAAATGGTTTCCGTTTTCATATCCGGGATGGGAATGGCTTCAGGCCATCTGGAGAATCTATCTATTAGAGTCAAAAGGTACACATGCCTTCTGATGGAGGTAACGGTCCGACGATATCCATATGGATTTCTTGAAAAACGTGCATCAGGAAGAGAGAATGTGCCCAGTGGTGCTTTAGTATGCCTAGTAATTTTCGATTTTTGGCAAGATTCACAGGATTTCACCCAATTTTTGATATGACGTTTCATATCGGGCCATACATAACGAGAACAAATAAGCTTCGTAGTAGCTGCAATTCCTGGATGTGACAGATTATGCAGATGATTAAGATGAGTCTGCGAAAGGAATTTGGAACAAATGGACGAGGAATGTCTTTGATATGTCACAAAATATTACCATCAGAATATTGGCACGGTTTAAATTCCAGTTTCAAAGATGATGTGTGTGTTTTTGAGACGGGTCTTGTACCTCCGGATCATGCCGTTGAGCTTTCCGAAATTTTTTAAAATCCAAAAATGGAGATTTTGTTATGGAATCAATTTCGATTCTTGAAAGAGCATCAGCAACAACATTTTTTTAACCTTGCATATGCCTAATATCAGTAGAGTACTGAGAAATAAAATCTAAATGTCGCAATGTCGAGGTGAACATTTATGAGGGTTCTGTTTAAAAGCATATATTAATGGTTTTTGATCCGTATAATTATAAAATTTCTGCCCTCTAACATGTGTCGGAATTTCTTAATTTCAGAATGAATTAGAAAATAATTCCCTATTGTACGATTACCATTTCTGTTGACTTTTATTGAGTTTCATAGAGAAAAATGCTATAGGTTCCCATGTTTGTTGAGACAACTGCATAAGTGTGCCGCCGATTGCGACGTCTGAGGCATCTACCCAGATGCTTAGCTGGGCTCCGGAATAGGGTGTCTCAAAGGGTAGCCTGAGCAATGGCATTTTTGGCAGCAATAAAGGCTTGTTTCAGCATTCTCGTTCCAATTTAATTGTGGGGATGAATCCTGAACACGAGAACGAGATTTCTTTTTATTAATATAGCCTTCTAACAATTTTATTAAAGGAGAAAGAATATGTGCTGCTTTAGGTATGAAACATCTATAAAAGTTAAACATGCCTAAAAATCGGCGAAGCTGAGTGAGAGTGGTAGGTTGAGGAAAATCTAAAATACATTTGACTTTGTCAGGAAGAGGTTCAATTCCGTTTTCACTAAGGTGAAAACCTAAGAAATCAATAGATGTTTGACCAAAGGTGCATTTTGAAACATTTATGCAAAGTCCATATTCCTGAAGTTTGGAAAATAAAGCTTTCAAATGCCTGCAATTTTCCTCAGAATCTTTAGAGGCTATGAGCAAGTCATCGACAAAAGCGTAAACGCCTTCTAATCCCGCGTGACTTCATCTATAAAACGTTGAAAAGTCGCAGATGCATTGCATAAGCCGAATTGCATACGGATACTTTCGAATAAACCGAATGGTGTGCATATGGCGGTTTTGTGGATGTCGGCTGGGTTATTGGTATTTGATGGTATGCCTTAATCAGGTCGACATGACTAAAAATTTTAGTACCGTGCAATGCAGCAGTAAAATCGGCTAAGCATGAATAGGGGTATTTGTCTTTTATTGTTTGAGCGTTCAATGCTCGATAATCTCCTACAGGTCTCCATTCCAGACTTCCCTTTTTTGGAACCATGTGAAGTGGGGATGCATAATTGCTGCTCGAAGGTCTCAAATGCCCCAATTGCATCATAGTTTGAAATTCTTGTTTTGCTATTTTTAAGCGATCTGGAGCTAACCGACGAGGTTTTGCAACCACAGGTGGACCTTTAGTTATGATATAATGAACGGTGTTATGTTTAACAGGTTGGTTAGGATCTGGTAATCTAGTAACTGAAGGAAATTCTTTTAAATTTTGTGATATGGTGTATCACTAAATACAGTTTTTTACTGAATAAATGCTTGCATTTTTCACGCAACCGACGGTTTTTAAAATGCGTTTTTAAATCTTTGAGACATTTGTTTCTGAGATCAGGCACCAATTCAAAGAAATGGAGAAAATCTGCTCCAAGAATGGGTGTACTAACATTTGCTATAAGAAAAGTCCATGTAAACTGTCGTCTTAATTTGAAATCCAAAGAAAGTGTTTTTTGACCATAAACATGAATAGTAGAAGAATTAGCAGCGAAAAGTGTTTGTTGGGACGAATTCCGTTTTTGAGAATTATTTGCTGGAAGTAAGGACACGTCAGAGCCGGTATCGACCAAGAATGAAAGGTTTGTTCTACGGTCACGAACGAACGGCGACGTGAAACTGAGGCAAAGAATAAGTCGCCTCTATTCTTTGCTGGTTTCGTTCCCTGCCATGAACAAGGTTTTGTACATTTGTCATCTCTACACATTTTTCCCAAAACGTCTATGATACCAGCAAACAGAATAATCTCTCCTTTGGAATTGCTTCTTTTCCTTATTGCGATCTCCGCGATTTGGCGAGCGACCACGAGAAAGAGAAATGCGATCAATACGTTTGTTTAATTTTTCTATTTGTTTAAATAATTTATCCTC